AGAAAGAAAGAAAGAAAGAAAGAAAGAAAGAAAGAAAGAAAGAAAGAAAGACAGACAGACTTTCTAGAATTCAATAAAAGTGAAACACAATATGCTAAACTTAGGTGACACAATGAAAGTGATGCTAAGAGGAAAGTTTGCAGCACTAGCTAGGTGCCTCCTTAACAAATCTGGAATGATTTTGTTCTAGCAACTTAACATCACAGCTGAAAGCTCCAGAACAAAAAGAGTAAGCACACCCAAGAGTAGTAGATATCAAGAAATAAACTGATGGCTAAAATCAATAAAATAGAAACAAAGAGAACAATACAGAGAGTCAACAAAACAAGATGTTGGTCATTTGAGAAAATCATCAGAATAGACAAACCCTTATCTGAACTACTGAAAGATGGAGAGAGAATATCCATTTAAGAAAATCAGAAACAAATAGGAAAAATAACAACAGCCGCTGGGGAAATCCAGAGAATCATAAGGACATACTTTAAAAGTCTGTAGTCCAAGCCGGGCATGGTGGCACACATAGGCAACCACAGCACTCTAGGAGGCAGAAACAGACGGATCTCTGTGAGTTTGAGGCCAGCCTGGTCTACAAAGTGAGTCCAGGACAGCCAAGGCTACACAGAGAAACCCTGTCTTGGGCGGGGGGGGGGAGGGAGTTGTAGTCCACCAAGTTGGACAGTTAGTAAAAATTTTAAAAATGTATGTGTTGCAGTTTCTCTCTTAAGGCAGCTAGCACCCAAATAATTAAGGCTGGACTATGTTATTTATTTAACATGCTTTACGGCACAACACTGAGCAGTTATTACTCTATTCTTAACGCTGTAAGCTAGTCTGGCTTCCTCTTTGCCAAAATCCCCCAAATACCTGCGTTTATGGCTTTCTCTTTCAAGTTCTTAGACCTACATGCCTGAGACCAGGATACAATTCAATAGTTCAATTCTTGCTACTTAGACTAAAACAATAGATGATAAATGCACATTCTGCTTGAATTTAGACCACAACATCCTGCTATGTTCCTTACTCCCAGAATCCTAAATCCCACCCAATCAGTTTAAAGTGCTTTGTCTAGCTATCTAGATACAGTACAATACACTTGGAACACAACTGATTCTGTTTAACTAGTCAAAATGATGTAATGCTGCCCCCACTCCCACCCTCACCCCACCTCCTACACTGGGTTACCAGATTATGGCCCTGACTGGTCAGTTTCTGTTCAGTGTTCGATAAACTTTCATCATTCTGAGTCTGGTGGCCAAGTGGTCGATTAGCAGTTTATTCCTGAACCCATAACACCAGGACTAGGCTTAGGTTAGCAGAAGAAGGCAGTAAGCCTCCCAGACAACAATTGAGGCAGGCAAATAAAAGTTCCTTTTACATATGATAGTGTACATGAGTGACCCAAAAATTCCACCAGGGAACTCCTGCAACTGATTAAACACTTTTAGCAAAGTGGCTGGATACAAGATTAACTTAAAAAGTATCTATCCTATATACAAATGACAAACAGACTGAGAAAGAAATAGGGGAACAACACCTTTCATAACAGCCTCAAATAATTCAAAATATCTTGGGTAATTCTAACCAAGCAACTTAAAGATCTCTATGATAACAACTTCAAGTCTTTGAAGAAAGAAAGAAATTGAAGAAGATATCAAAAAATGGAAAGATCTCCCATGACAGCTCATTCTGGTGAGGGTGTGGAGCAAGAGGAACACTTCTCCATTGCTGGTGGGGGTACAAATGTGGACAGCCACTGTGAAAATCAATATGGTGGCCCCTCAGAAAATTTGGGATCTCCCTCAAAAACCAGCTATGCCACCCTTGGGCGTATACTCAAAGGATGCTCCATCCTACCACAAGGACACCTGCTCAACTATGGTCACTGTGGCTTCAGTCACAACAATCAGAAACTGAAAACAACTTAGATGACCCTCAACTGAAGAACAGATAAAGAAAATGGGGGACATTTAAACAACAGCTGAGCCAGCTGTTAATAAAAATGACATCATGACGTTTGTGACCAAATGGCTGGAACTGGAAAACAAAACAAAACAAAAACAAACAAACA